CCGTCGTCAAATGAAATCCGGCATGCCACCACTCCCCTGCGTGTAAATAAAAAAATATGAAAATTCGCCGTTTCTTCAACGTCGTGGCTCCAACTGTATATATATTTTTTGAGATCACTTACCCTTGGATTGGAGGACGAAGACTGCACCGGCATCAACTTCACGTTGAGAGTCTGCAGGGAAAGGGTCAGGTTTTGGAGGTGGAGCCATTAATTAATGTTATATAGACTGTGGTGTACGTGCAGGTTAAGGTGCAGCAGGGAGATAAGCAAGAGGCGACGTTAATGTCGGAGGCGTCGAGACAAGGCTAAAAGGAAGCGGGCAGGCATATCGTCGCCCGGAGAGGGAGATAGACGTGAATGCAAGGCGAGAGGAGGATGTCACATTCTTTGATGGGTGACAGAAAGAAGTATAAGAGGGGTAGGAATTTTGATTTTAATTGGGCTTGGAGAAGACTTGTTTGCCTGTTGTATAGGGTTATTTTGGTAGTTTCCTTTTAGGTGACCGAGGAGTGAAAGAATAAGCTACATGTATATTGGATCGGTGCCATAACTGAGACGCCAAAGCAACCCAAAATGTTTGTTATGGCAAAACAAAAAATGCGATCGAATTTTTTAATAAACCTAATTTTATGTTATTTGTGCTTGTTATTTTTTTATGTTGTTTCCGTCTGTGTCAGCAAACTTAAAAGAAATCTCCATTCTAATGGGATGATCTCAATTAAGTCCCTAGCTTGTTTATGGCCTCTTATTTAATCACACTGCATCAATGAATTCTAACTCATTAAAAACCCATGAATTTATTAAAATATCAAATAAAACAAATTTTAGAAAGAAACATAAGAATCTTGTATTTTGAATTTATTAAAATATCAAATAAAACAAAATTTATAAAGAAACATAAGAATCTTGTATTTTTATATAGTTTGATCTATCTTGTGGGTTTCATATTATTTAAAACGAGGATTTAGAGAATTTACTGGTCTTGCAAAATGAGAATTTATTGGTTCAGTGAGGACCTAATCAAGATGAACAAAATAGGCTGGGGGCCTAATCAAAACTACTGTTTAAGTCTATGGACTCTTACAAGGTTTGCCTCTTCTTCTTCTTCTTTTATAAAAGAGAGGTCAGACGTAAAAGAAGTGAAAACGACAAGTTTTAAAATAAAATTTCGATTCAATCATAACTTGCGACCACTTGCAAAATGAAAACAACCCCCACCCTGAAAGATTGCGCCAAGCCTGATATAGGCAGCCCCACCAAACCTAAAAATGATAGTCTAGTTCGACAACAACTAGAGAAAATGATGTTCAACCACCAGACACTTGAACATCATCGGCAAAAAGAGTTGGCATCTATTAGATGGAACAAGCCTTTCACTACTGCTGTTGTTTGTCATTTGAAGTTGCAGCTGCTAAAGACTTGCTGTACTCCTCCAGTTCCTTCTTATATGCTTCCATGGCTTCGGCTGCTTTGGAGTTCCAGATTTGCCTCTCTTCTTCATTAAGTTCCTGCAAACCCAATAAAACACAAATTACAAAATCAAGACACTTCAGGTTTGTAAGCTAAACCAACTACTTCAGCAAAAACGATGGGTTTCGCAAAATGGATTACCTTCCACTTCACAGAAATCATTGCGGTCAGGGTGGAATTATTGATTCCAGGGCGCTCGTCCATTAAACTTTTCCTGGTTTCTTTGCTGCGTAGAAAATAAAAACTTCGTAAATTTATCGCAAAAACTGCACTGAAAAGTGTGACTACTCTCGTGAGAGACGCTAATACCTGAAAAGAAGGAATGAAGATGCAGGTTTCTTAGGCTTGTTAGGGTCAACATTCTGCTGCTGCTTCTTCTTGCGTTGCTCTTTGGTTTTCTGTACATTATAAAGTACACATTTAGCCACCAGAAAGGCGCCAAAATTAGCATAGCAATCAGCAAACACAGTTGAAAGCAACAGGTATACCTTGATAATGTTTTCAGTTTTCTCTTTCCTCTTAAGCAACTGCAATGCTTCCTGTCTCTGGACTTTCACCAGTTCTTCCTCTTCTTTCTTGAGATTCATAGCTTCTTCATCCTTTGTCTGCTTGTAAGCCTTCATTTCTTGCATATACTTTTCCCTGTTCTTCTTTGCAACCTTCAATATTCAAAAGCAGCTAAGAAACCAAACCGAGTAAAATAATTAAACTCCCAGCTAAAAAGGGTGAGGTGTGTCAAGCGTAAACCTCTTCATAAGGCCCCCTTTGTTTTTCTGTCATGTTCTTCCATTCTTCACCAGCAATCTTCGCCACCTCCAGAACACTCTTGTTCTCTGCAAGGAGAGCGGCTCTTCTCTCATTACAGAACAGGAAAAATGCAGACAATGGCTGCTTTGGTTTCAATGGATCCTTTTCTTTCCTGTGAATGAACAAAACAAACAAATTAATAATTCTGTAGTCAATAAAAGGAACAGACAGTAAAGAGAGTTGCTTCTGATTTTACTTGGTCTTCTTGCTGTTCTCTTCCTGATCTGCTTCCTGCTTGAACTGGACGTATTGCTCAAGCAATTCCATTGCAGTCTTCTGCTTCTGTTCCTCTTCCAAAAGCTTCATAGCTTCACCCTCGCGCTTCTCCTTTGTCATTACTTTCAGATAGGCTTCCTTTTCAGCCTGATACTTCTCCTCATAAGGCTTCTTCTCCTCTGCAGTAATGGTCTTCCACTTTGCCCCCAAAATGTTAGAGATATCCTTAAACTCTGCATCTGGGTTTTCCTTTTTTACCTGCACAGAAAAAAACCCCAATTAATCGTCAATAAGAGCCAAAACATGTTTAATTAAAAGCTTAAAAGGAAATCCAGAACCCTATCTCTTTGTTTACCTCATTCCATTGAGCTTTGCACCAAAGTGAGTAAGGTGGGCATGGCCTTTTGATTTCATTGCCACCCTTCTTTTTCTTCCTGTCTTGCTCCTTGTCATTCATTGCTTGAACAAATGAGAGAGTCTGTACAAAGATTCATAACGAAATACCTATCAATTCAAACCCTAAAGACATAAAAAATCATAACTTTCTTAATTGAAGATAGCATTCTTTGTTTAAACCAACAATTTACCTAAAAATTAACAAGAAAGTTAACAAATCAAACCTAACGTTCAACGTTAATTCAGTCTACCGATCCCTTAACACAAGAAATCAAGAAACGAAAAATCAAGAAATCTAACCATGGTGGGCTTGAATTCCTTCAACTTCTGCAACTTCTTCAACTCCGTCTTCATTTTCTCCTGTTCTTTACCCTTCATTTCAATCTCCTCATCTTTAGCCTTCAACATGTCATCTTTCTCCTTCAACAAAACCTCGGTCTTCTCTTTCTCAAGCTTTAACTGCTGCAACATTTCTTGCATTTCTTGAAAATCTTTCTCAAACAAAGAAGCCGAAGCCTCTTTATTCTGCTTCGCTTTCGTGGCCTTGGATTTCCCTTTCTTGGGTGAAGACCGAGGTTGAGAATGACTCGCATGGTTTTCTTTTGAAGGATCAGTGTCTGATGGAGATAAAACGGTGGCAGTAGATGTCTCAGAGAGCTTTTGAGCCATTATATTGGATTCATTTGTTGATGGGTTCTTCTGTTTCAAAGCTTTCCTGTTGTTTCTTGATTTTTTTGGAACTGTCGAGGCTACAGCAGTATCTGCCATTCTAGAATCCCGATTTTGAGAGAAAGTATGATTTAGGGTATTTGAGAGAGGATATTTACATGGGAAGGAAGAATAGGAGCGCAACGGCTAGTATATTTTCGAATTTCAAATCAGTTGTCGAAGTTTTTAAGAGGGGGTTGAGGTCCGGAATCGGAAATCTGATTTATGGGTAATTTGACCGGTAACAGGGGATTGTGTGATTTTAAAACTTTACCATAAAAAGTGTAAGTAAATGTTTTAAATTGGCCATTAGAGGATTGTGAAATTAGTGGGGGGGGTGTTGGGGGCGTCATCAGCATGTAAGCAATTGGTCTCCATGTTTTTAGTGGAGCACAATAATATTGATTGTTTAAAAAGGGTCATCAATGGAAGGCGGAAGCCATGCCAAAATATTGATTGTTTAAAAAGGGTCATCAATATGCCACCCCACTTTCTTTCCATGCTGATGACGTCCTTTGTGTAGTGCCAGGTGGGGTGGCAGCGGGGGATTGGAGACACAGACAATATCTGGGTTCTGGGTGTCTTGGAACTGGTACAAATTACATATACCGACCCCTTCGAATTGGATGGGAAGCCTATGCTTACAATTGGAGGTGAACTGGTACAAATTACATATACCGACCCGTTTGAATTGGATGGGAAGGCTATGCTTACAATTGGATGTTCGATTGTTTTCATTAAAATTATTGCCATAACAATTTTTCAATACATAAAACATCATCTATTCATCTTGTAGAAAAATGAATTGTGAAATTTGGATCAACCAGTTCCTGCTCTCATGCCGATTCAAACCAGCTGCAACACCTGCAGAATCTACCTCCAACCCCACCCTTCAATAACCCTTACTCCTAGCAAAAGCAAGCCCATAATTCCGCATGCAGACCTGAACAGACCCTTAAGTTTTAATAGCGTTGTCTATCATTGTGTGTGTGTGTGTGTGTGTAAAAGTGCAAATCTAACTGGATTCTGATTAAAGATTCACCATCCACGCCATCGCCATCGATGTGAATAGTCTAGTCGATAACCGGGGCATCTGGGATCGAGAAACTAATTTAACATGGACAATAATTACGCTTGATTATCTCTTTAGCTCCGGTCATAATGTTGATGAAATCAAGGTAAAGCCAAAAATGTGGCTACTGCGACTGAAATTAAGGCCGATGACCTTGTTGTATTCAAAAGCAGTTAAGCCATCATTGTCAAATGACTTCCATGGTAGACTACTTAAGATGGAGATGGGCACATAAAACCAGCATATTAGTTATGGGCGAAAATCAAGGCAAGAATATTAAAATTAGAAACACGCAGGGCCACCTGAGTTAAGTCAATCACGGAGAAATATGGCAGTGAAAGAATCATCTTCAGAATAAACACCAACAATGCATGAACAGACTTGAGATAAAAAGTACAGATAAGTACACGAGAGAGTAACAACTTGGACAGATTCCCAGGGTCAGCAACAGCAATCATGGTAAATACAAGCCGGACTGCGCTAAGCAGTAACCCAACGACAAATACCAGTCTACTTAAACCGAGTTTTACCCCGTTTTCAGCAGCTTTTGTTGATGCCTTCTCAAAACTTAGTTGATTCAATAATACAAAGAAACTTGTTCAAGTCGTTTAATGCAGCATCACGTGAAAGTGGAAGCCAAATAATGACCTCTTCTTTTTGAATGAAAAAACTGTATGAGAACCAAGTCTTGTTACATCGGAATTAAAATTCAGCAACTTGATCCTGTTTCAGGAACACCATATCATTGTTTTAGATAATATCACTGTGTCAGTTTAAACTACTTAAAGAACCATAACCAGCATGGATAAAGCCTGACTATAAAGTGGTGTAATCCCCTAATACTGATAGCAGTCATTTTCATTATCGATGGCTATGCCAATGCCATTAGTCTGCCTATATTTCTTAACTGGCACGAACAATTCTAGAAGCATAAAACAAATGGCAACATTTGGTTAGAAAATAGAGATGTATACCCTCTAATGCAGTTGGGGCTAGAAGCTTGCGAAATGAGACATTCAAATATACGTACAAACAGTATTTAACATCTTACAAATCAATTGTAGCCCTTCCCAAGGCAGTTTAGACAGCGCTGTACTCTGCAATATATAAGAAAGCCATCAATCAAAGCAATGCACAAGCATAATAAGCAGCATATGAAAACTAGAATTAATTGCAACATAAAAGTTTCACATTAGCACTTCACAGGTTCACATTGCCAGACAAGTTAATCACCCAAGTAAATTCTAAAGCAGTGATGCCAAATCCAATAGCAAACCTAGAATCTATGCATAACAAACAACGAACAACAACTAACCTGTTACCATCACAAGTAGGGCAAAGGCAAGGATTGATAGCAACAGGATCGTACAAAGGTGACCAGTGTATGCTAGCATTCCCTTTGCACAGCTTGCATATGTAAAACCCCTTTCCTCTACAAACCCCACAAGGCAACGCAACTCTTCTCTATTAAAAAAAAAAAGACATGAAAAGGAATTCAGAAAGACAACTCTCAAACAAATAATGATAGTAATGGTAAATTAAGGTTCTTATTCCTGAATTAACCAGTTTGAGATCAGTGGCAAAACGAAGTGCATTAACAGCAATAGAGGAAGTGATGTTGAGAGCAAGTGCGCCGCCCAAGATGATGGCAGTGCCAGTTACAAGTGTGCGCAGTGGCTTTGGAATCATCTTTTACAGTGTGGAGGTCTTTACAGCAGGTTATTGACACTTATGAGCTCAGCATCCCTTGATCTTCTGATGACCAAAACAAAGTAGAATAATCGTTGGACAGGCCACAAATATGCACAGGTGAAAACACAGGTCACAATGAAAAGGCAATCATTGAATTTAGCAAAATAATTACCTGAAATGACTATTTAAATGTCAAAGCAACAGCAATGAGCCTGCTCATCTCATTTTCTTTAAGATTAGACCTCATGAAATAAAAGTATAGCTACCGTTTTCATATCCTAAGTAAAGGGAATTAAACCTGTAGGAGGCACTTGCACTCCATGCAAGCCCAAATGAAGCCATAAACTCACATTTGCTAAAAAGTCGGCACCATGCACACATCAAAGAACAGACAACTCTATGCAACCTCCCAGTATCCAGTAAGCCGCTAACTGGGCCATAATTACCTGAAATGACTATTTAAATGTAAAAGCAACAGCAAATAAACATCACCAAGGCCACTCCTACAAACTCCACAAAACCGAATTAAAAATAGAAGAAAAAATCGAGCTCAACCTCTACCTTCTTGAAACAACAATAGCATGCTAATCTCAACAGCGCACAACCCTGCCTTCATAAAAGTGCTTACGACCATGTTCATACCAAAACCACCAATTCCCTGGCCATTCTCAATCTTCATCCCAAAAAACACCACCAAGACTTCAAAATCATAATCCCAATTATATTAGGTCACTACAAAACTAAAAAACATTACAAGCAAAACCCTTAGTTAAGTTATGCACGGTCTGACTAATTAAGGTTTGTTAACACCAAGGAGGTAATGGGAAAAGGAATAAAAGAAAAACCCAGGCACAGACAAGCATATATAAATCAAGAAATTGTGTAAAACAAAGAAGGGAGATAAGAAAATACTTACTTGGATTGTTTTTCAGACTTCAATGGGGGTAACTAAGCAAGGATTCGGTGATGTTAAAGGAAGGTGGAGGGGAATGGATGAGAGAAGAAGCGAAATTGAGAAAGGCAACGCTCAACAGGCAAACAGAGGAAGAGAGTGGCGAAATTGTTTACATGTGATAATAATTTACAATAAAACATACTTCAGAGGATAACATGAGATTTTAACCACAAGAGCAAGAGGAAAACACTTATTGTCGTGTAAGAATATAGTTTTCTCAGAATCATACACGACATTGAAGGGTACAATAAAGGGATTTATTATTTACATTTAATTACCAACTTATCCATTAACTGGATAAGAAAAGAATAATCCATTTGGTTACTTACATCATCACACAAAACCGCTTATAGTAGTCATACCATATCTTTGGTGGCTTTACCATTTGTTGATAATTTGATATATAAGGTTTTATTTAGTATAACTTATGAAAATTGACTTCCGATTTTGAATCATAATTTAAAATATTACTTTTCTTAACTTAAGAATAAGTAATTAAAAATAAATAACTTAATATCAGAATCATTGAAATTAAAAATTTATTTAGCAAAATACATGAAAATTAATTTCTTCAAGAAAGAAAAATCCATGAATTAGAATCATTAAATTAGACGTTAAGGTTTTTTGAACGTTTTATTAAATTAAAATTTTGACTAAAAGTTACAACTTTATTATTTAAAACAGTGGTTATTTATAAACAAAACATAATTTTTTAGTTAAAATTAAAAAAAAAACTTAAATTAATTTGCAAAAAATCTAATTCCAATAGCCTAATTCAGGTTACCTGATAATTTCAGCGCACAAGAGTTTGCCAAGTACAGCATTTGGCATCATATTTTAGCTCAATTCTTCAACTTAAAATAGTTAATGACTAGGTATTAGATGGTGCTGTGGTTCGTTTTTTGTCAATATAAAAAAAAATATCATGTGATATCAATATTTTAAAATAAATAAGAAACATATAAAATTTTAATAATTGAAAAAGATTATATATGTTACTGCAGTAATGACTTAGAAAACAAACAAAAATAAAAAATTGTCTCTAAACTTCCTGGATCTATTTTTTTTATTTACAAAATTATTATGGGCTCTATTAACATTTAATAATTACCAAATAATCAAATATATATATACAAAAAAAAGCTCTAATCGAAAACAAAGATTTTTACATTTCAAGGAAAATGACATAATTTAATTGTTTGAAAATCAAACCTATTAACCAAAACCTTTTTTATTAATGGTAATAAAGTAATTATACTACAATAAAAATATATATTAAAAAACAAATTAACTCTATTTTTCTTTATAATAACCCATGAGTCTCGTTAACAAAAAAAAAACATTCATTAAAAAAAACTAAAACTCCTTAGCCTTTCACTATAAAGACTGAGTTCTTTTTTAAAAAAAAAAACTATTTTTTTAAACAATTTTTCTTTATTTTTTTATTTTTTTATGCCTTTAGCTTTTTTTTCTTTGTTTTTTTTCTTTTAATAATTTTTTTTGTTTAATTTAATTTAAGTTATTTTTTTATTTTTTTTATGCCTTTAGCTTTTTCTTTCTTTCTTTGTTTTTTTCTTTTAATAAATTTTATTTTGTTTAATTTAGTTTGTTAATTGACACAACGAAAAGATTGATGTCTTCTCCCAAGTGCAGGAGTGTCGAAGTAATAAATAACCCGGCAAGACCGGGGTCGAACCACAGGGAGGTTAATTGTAAAAATTAAAAACAACAATTATAAAACAACAACAACAACAA